CCCATAGATGAGAAGGGCCAGGACCTCCTCAAAATCCTGGAAGTCCAAATCATTCCAAAACAGTTGAGCCTTCTCTAGTAGGAACTTGGCTAGAAAACCCTTAACTTCGCTTCTTATTTCCCAATTTGATACAACATCAGACTGTTTCAGGTGTAAAGTTGTTGCAATGATCTCTGGCTTTGGAGCTTCTTCCAAACTGGTGAAAGGCAACTGATCCAAAAATAGGTATACCCAATATCTGAGAGAACTCTTCCATGGTGGGTACCAACAGCTAGTCTGGAAAGGTGAAGCAATGGTGCTTAGGGTCAAAGAACTGAAAGAGCACACTCATCATATTCTCATCAAAACCTGAGGTAACCAGATTGAGGAGTTGGCCGTAGTTCTTAGTGAATGAAGAAGTCTCAGAAACCCTAGATACTAGCTCTTTAAGTTGAAGAGGTATTCTCACAAAGTTGATTCATATGGTATTTCTACGAGCGGAAGCCATGATCTGCAAAACTGAACAAAGATAAATTCCCCTAATCCTTGAAATGGTTAGTGTAATGAAGAATGAATGTTTATGATGCATGATGCCATGTTTGAGAAAATTAATCACACACAAGCATAGCACACAAGACCTTAGGTTTAGGCTTGCATGGGGTTTGTAGGTAAATACCCTCTTGAAGTTTAGTTGGTTTTAAACTTGTCTTAGAAATAGTAACCGGGTTCTAAGTAGTCTCAATATCACTGATCTTTCTTTATCGGTATTATTTCAGTTTAGCAATCTTTTCTTGCGACCGAAACATCCCAAAAGTACGATCTCAATGAGTGTAGTATCGAGTATTAATCGATTCCCAGCTTTACATCGAGACTGGCTATCTCACTACTTTCTAATGGCCAAGTTTTGTTCAACTAAGGTTCTAAAGTCCGTTAGTGCTTCACGACACCATGCGGCGGCCCCATATTCTCCTCGATTCAGCACAAGGGATACCGGTACTAACCAAAGTGTCACACCAACACAGCTATCGCTTCACCTATATCAGTCTACGCCATACAATCTTCACGATCTATTGTTGTTTCCCTAAAAAGATGCCCCAGATCCGGATATAGGATCTTTACAAGAATACCCCAATAAACCATCAAAGATAAAGCAGTCAAAGAAAATAAAGAAGGAAATTTTGAAATGATCTAGACCCTAAGGTAAACCCCACTTTATAATTATCCCCAACAGAGTCGCCAGTTCTGTGATATGGTGGTTGAACCGACTGTTAATACTGGTTTGCATTTTGTATTCGCAAATGTCGCGGTAAGCAAGAGTCGCCACCAACTTTTCTTTTATCCAAATTAAGGAAAGGGTGAAAAGAACAGAAAAAGACCTTTTTTTGAGAGTTTCTGAGTAAGGGGGGTAGATTATGAAAAGGGAAGGTGTTAGCACCCTTTTCATCCATGGTTTTCCATGGGCTCTTAGGTACTTGCTCATTTTTGAAAATTGCTTTCGTGTTTATGTGAAAAAGTTTTTGTTTGAAAATGCCTTAGTGCGGAGATTCACTTTATGATAACCCTTGTATCAGTCCTCAAAAGTTTGATAAAGCATTTTGAAAACTTTGTTTGAAAAGTGTTTGAAAGTGTGGTGTGTAAAAAGAATTGTTTGAGAAAGTACCTAACAATTATCTACCTACTCGAAAAAAGTTTATTCTTTTCCTCCTATCCTTTAGACAGTGCTATCCTACTATTAGTGAGTAGTGTTGTACCCCAAATTTTGACCTAAGATACCGTCTCCCATCTGCATTATTCGCATTGCAAGGGTTTTCACATATTTTATCAAATTTTTCGAAGCAGTTTAAAAATTCACAACTTTTTCGAGTCAGGAGCTGTTTATTCGTTGAACGCTAAATTTATTAACTGATCAAGACTTAAACAATGTTCATTAATTATTTATTATCTTAAATTCAAATAATTGGAATTTATTTTCGATTATTACGTAATTTAAAGACTTATAAATAATAAAAAGAATATTTGAGAAAAGGTTTATTAATGGGTCAAATAATGTTTATTAATTATTCATTATCCTAAATTTAAATAATGGGAACCTGTTTTCCGTTATTATATAATTTGAAGGTTTATGAATAATGAAATAAACATTTGAAAATGAGTATATTAATTGATCAAGCAATGTTTATTTGATTATTTATTGTTCTAAATTTAAATAGCTGAAATTCTATTTTTCAAGTTATTATAATTTAGAAGAATTAAAAATAATAATAAAATAAATAATTGAAGTTATTAATTGATCAATGATGTTTATTTATTTGTTTATCATTTTAAATTTAAATGATTGGATTTGATTTTTAATCATTATATAATTTAAGGAATTATAAACAATAAATAAATAATTGGAAAGAAAAAGAATTAATTGAGAAATAATAGAATTTTTATTCACTTTATTCTATTTATTACAATTGTTGTTTAAATACTATTGTACAAAGTATTTATAATAACCATTACATAAATTCTTAAAGTAAAATAAAACTATTTTCCTAAATTCTAATTCTAATCTTCTATCCAATACTTTTTGTCTGCTCATTTAAATTTTACCTGCAAAAAAAAACGATTAAAAGAAAGAAATTAGAAATCGGATAAATAATTAAAATGCAGAAAATAAATTCAATGTTCATCATTAAAAGCAATGGCCGGAATCAGTTACTCTTTTTTGCAAATCACGGGATTTCTCCCGGTTCACAAAAAAGAGAGGAATTTTTAAATGAATGCACAATTAAAAAATAGCACATTTTCAAAATCATTTGCATTTTTATCAAAAAGCCCACTGCATATTTCACATATGCATAAATACTTTTTTGGTCAAAACTGCATAAGTATAAATCACAGCATACATTTTTTTCAAACAAACATATGCAAGGTACACAACAAGCCAACGTTAACCTGCAGAATAATATAGGCTAATGCAAGACAAAAAACAATATGCAATTTCAAATAATGTGCAGTCTTAAAACTATGTATGCAAGCAACCTATATTTCCTTTTTTCATCATATTCCAGCCTATTGCTTTTTCAGACAGCAGTACAGCATATCACATTTATATATATCATTTCTGTACTTGGGAGAGAGAGAGAAGAGTTTCAATTTTGCAGGTTTTGGCCTAAGCATGAAATGGGAATGAAATCACATGTAGCAGCATATATGCAACATCAGGAAAATATAATAAAATACTAAAAACCTGAGTCACAAAAAAGAGGCAACGGCTATGAGAAAGGGATCCCTTCAAAAGGAAGTCCAAGCTAGCATATTTTACACACAAGAACATCACTGCAAAAACTATCCAGTAAATAACCATTTCCAAGCATAACCATCACTTGCTTAAGCATTTGCAAAAAAACCTGCGTACTGCTATCATAACCAGCATACTACACCATAACCATCACTTGCTTAAGCATTTGCAAAACCTGCATACTGCTATCATAAACAGAACCTACAATCAAAACTATTCAAAAAACCATTTTTCAAGCATATTGCTAAACTTGCATATTGCTAACCAGCATATTGCTAAACCTGCATACTGCTAAATCCTTTTGCATACCATATTACTAATCACAATCTGCATACTGTACCAAAACCATAAAAAACGGTATAATCCAAAACCACCAAAAAAACATTTATTCAATATTTCCAACCAGTTTTTGAGACGGAGAAGAAGAGAAGAATTAGTGGCAGAAAGCAAGGAGCGAGGAGTCTTCGGAGCTTACCTGATTTCGCCGGAATCGTACCGTCGGACTAGCTCCGACCATGTGAGTTTTCTTCAGCTTTTCGCATAAACCTTTATACCGTTGCGTTGCCTTTGTCTCACTTAATAATCCTCTCTTTAATTTCCTGAAATCATGAAAATGGCCATTTAATATCTTTGCGAATCATCAACACATTAATCCCTATTTAACACCGACAATAATTTGATTGATAAAATTCAAGATTCATAATATTGCAAAACCGGCACGATCATAAGCACTGATTATTTAAAGCCAATTTGAAATAATAGACAAGTTCACAAATCTGCTCCTTCTCTCCCAATTCACGTTTCTTCATCTTCAGCCACTGAATCACAGCAACACGACAACACTACTTGCTTTGCTTTGTTCTCTTCAACTGTTCGGGGAAAATTCTGTTGAATTTGTTATATGTGAAAAGGATTGGAAAAGGTTTATGAAGAGCTCGAGGAAGCGAAATCTGAAATCGATAAACTCAAGGCAGAATTAAGAAGCAAATCAGATTCAGTTGAGAATTTGAAGAGATCTCTTAATGCGCAGGTTAATCAAACGCAAGAGGCAAAGTTGAAATCTGAGAAGCTTGATCATGAACTTCTTCAAAAGGCGGATGAACTAACCGAGGCGAAGAATGTGAATGAAGGTCTCAAAGGAAAGTTGAAAGAACAAGAGTCTATTATCAAACATCTCAGAGGTGCAAATGATAAAATCCGAGTTGATTGCGATGAAAAGATTAAACAGATGGAAGATGGGAATAGAGGTTTGGTATTGGCCTTAGAGGAAGCGAATGACAAGGTAGAGAATCAAGAACAAATGATTTGTCAATACAGAAAAGAAATCAAAAGCTTACCGTTGAAACCTCCCCGTAACCCTTTCTGCCTCCACGACAAACTCATCAACCTCTCCACCGCGTTACCGGAAAACGTCTCCATTCCAGCTCCTATTGTAGCTCCAACACCTGATTTTCAAGAATCATCAATTACCTACATATTTATAATTCTAAGACCTAACTATCGTTAATTAGCACCATAATCAGTATAACTTGGAAATTAAAAAATGAAGAATTACCGATTCCAACGAGATCAACAGCAGATAACTTTCTGGCCAATTGAGGATGACTCCTGCAATGAACAGAACCAACTTGCTTCCTCCTAATCACGCTTCGAAATCCACTAACCACGCTAGCAATCTTCATCGTTCCTCCTTCCAGCACCAATCTCCCATCCTTTAACCGCAACCACCACTACTATGCCTCACAAAGCGAATCCCATTGATTTTGAGAACAGCGAAAGCAATTTAGGCGTGGCTAATGGAGGTTTTTTTTCTCATCTAAGCTTGAAGTTGCCGATTTCACGTTGGCAGAGGGATTTGACTGATTCAACTGTCTTAAGGACCATGGGTGTCAATTTTGGTCATTCCCTTCTTGCATTAAAGCACACTTCAAGGAATTGGGAAGCTTCAGGTCAACGAAGCTCGCTTGAGCGAAGATGTGAACCAGTGCTGGGAGGTACTTGCTGAACCAATACAAACGGTTATGCGAAGATCAATGTTCCCGAGCCTTATGAGAAGTTAAAAGAGCTGACTAGAGGGAAAGCAATTACCAAAGAAAGCTTAAGAGACTTCATTGAAGGCTTAAATATTCCTAAATGCAAAGACCTATCTCTTAAGTTAACGCCGCATACTTACGTTGGAACCGCCGTTGAACTGGCCAGAACTGTAGAACACGAGGTGGATCGTGGAGGAGACCGGAACAAGGAGGAAGAAAAGGGGTCCAGCGGCGGAGGCCATGGCACAACGTTTCCTTATGTTTTTTCGTCACAAGCATTCTGTCCGGGTCCTCCCAACCGCTCCATTTGCCTCAACTAAGCCCATTTTCTTTTTACACTTAAGCCCTTTCTAATTGCAATTCACACCCCACCCTTTTACATACTATTAGTTTAATTCTATTTCTTTTTTTTCTTAACTTATTTAATTTTGATTGGTTAGTTTCTTAGGAATAAATATATAGTTTTAATTAGACAAATTTAAATATTTTATCCAATCTCATTTAGTTTAAATTTAGGTTTTATTTTAATAACCTTAGCCTTCCTTATTTCTAATTCAATTTAAATTCATGGTTTGTAAGTTTAATTTTAAAAAATATTTAATATCTCTAAATATGTGAAAGTAAAAAATGAAAACTAAAAGACATGCTATTTATTCCCCTCATTTTGGTTAAATACCAATATAATAAAAACATAAAAAAATAGAAACATATAAAATCTAAAAAACATTTCTCTTAATTCTCATTACCCTTTTATCATTAAAAATGCGTAAAAAAGTGAAAACCAATTAAACTTTTTCTTTTCGCCTATTAAACAAAAATCATATAAAAAATGCATGTTCACATTTAATTGTTGTGTATCATTTTCTATCAATTATTTCATTGTACTTGTTTATTCTGTTTGCACCAATCCAAAGGGAATAGTCTAATTTTTTGTTGACTTCATGTCCTCAAAAACGATCGAGCGAGTACCCTCATTTCATTGAAACTTAGGATAATTTTTCCAAATAACCGATTTCTCCAAAACTCACACCTTTTAAGTCAAAACTTCGACGTTAGGTTGTCGTATCTTCAAAAACCCGTCCGTATCCCTTTTCGGCCAAAACAATTTATTTTCGATCAAACAAATCAATTTTAAACAAAACAGATATTTCAAAAGGTTCCTATAGAGTACTATAGATGCATTGGGTGCTAATACCTTCCCATTGTATAACCAACCCCCGAACCATAGATCTCTTTTCAAAAACGCCTTGTATTCTTATTACTTTTAAAAGTATTATTTACATTGCATATTTAGGGTTTTATTTCGCTCTTTTCCCTTTTCCTTTGGAAACAATAAAGTGCGGTGGCGACTCTTGCTTTTGTGAGACGAATTAATCAATAATTCGATCTCCGATTTACCCCGCTACATTTTTTATCGCTACAGAATTGGCGACTCTGCTGGGGATACATTGACCTTTTGCTGGTCCATCCCTAAGTGGGTTAAGCCTAATTTGTTTTATCTGTTTTATTATTATTTGATTTGTTTGATTATGTGTTTAAATTGGGGTTATTCGGGTTTTTCGCAAAGGACAAATCCTACACCCGGATTAAGTAACACTTAAGGAATAGGACGGGCGGTATAGTCATGTTAACTTTGAGGGAGTAATCCCGAAGAAGGAGGCATGAGATCCCCCACTCAATGGAAGGCCCTCTTGGACTTAATATTTGTTTACCGAGTAATCGGGAAGACATTATTATTTTCGACCTAGGAGCCCGAGAAGTTGAGGACCGTAGAACCCCGACTCATCTTGGCCTTTTTAGGTGTAGCGCGGAGACTATAACGGAGTAATTCGGAAGTAGTTGTCACGCGATGCTACGCTCGGACGAGTTTCTCTTGAGAATAATGCTAATTATCGAGTAATCCAGACGTTGGCAATATCCGAAGGAGGAATGTAGACTCTGGGAACTCTTAGAACCTTGTTCTACAGGTGTGATTAAACCCTTAGTACATACCTTGGGGATGTTTTTACCCTTGACTCCTTGCTCGTGACGTTGAACCTTTTAACCCCATGTTTGTGACCTTGCTTGTGGTTGTTGCATCTCCATGCATTCATGCATCCATAAAACTCTTTTCACTTGACTTTGAAGGAGTTTGGAGGTCTTTCTTTGTAAACATCACTAGTTTCGTCAAACTCAATGGATCTTGGGTGTCGATAGGGCGAAAACCCTAATCCACCAAAATGGATGATTGATCTTGACGATGACTGGATCAATGTTTGGAGCCAATTTAAAATTCATCTGTTATCTTCATACTTGGATGTTTATAACTTGATATCTTGAGTTCCTTGAAAGTCAAATAAAACTCTCTTTTGCATATCATACATCATTCTACATTTTTCCTTTGTCTCACTTTCAAAGGTCTTTTTTCGAGTCTTATTTTTTCCTTTTGGTCTCACTAGTACAACACTCGCGCTAAGAGAATAATGGAGAATATCAAGCAAGAGGTTTCTGAACTCCGCAGAGAGGTGACTATTTTGAAAGCTGGTTTGGATCACTTAACTGGTTTGGTTGAAATTCTGATCTCCGCCCAAGTCAATCCTTCTAGGAGGGAGGAAGCAAGGATAAAGGTCTTCACGGAGACTCTAAAATCTTTTTCTCGTGAAAAGGTGAAGGTTAATGCACCTGATGACTTTCCTGACAAGGTGGATGTGGGAGTGCGTCTAGAAGAAGATGTCGGAATGGGATGTTTATATGAAGACGGTAGCGCAGCTAATGGTGTGAGGAAGTTTGATAATGACTTTTCCAAGAAAAGAACCAGAGGAAGAGATACTCATCACCAGAATCATCACGTTCATCAACAGAATCAGCGAGTTCCTAATCAGAGGAAAACCCAGTTTGATTCAATTCCAATCACCTATACAGAGTTGTTCCCTATCCTGATGCAGAGGAATTTGGTTCAGACCCGACCTCCACCGAAGGTCCCTAAGAAGATGCATTGGAACTGCAAAGCTGATTTGGCTTGTACTTTTCATCAAGGTGCTCGTGGGCATGACTTGGAGGGTTGCTTCGCTTTGAAGATTGAGGTTCAGAAGTTGGTCAGAGGTGGTATCTTGTCGTTCAAGGACGTTGGTTTTGAAGTTCAAATCAAACAGGCGCCGAAGAGTAAACACGATTGAGGGTGACTTTGAGTTTTGAAGATGTTTTCGGTAGTTCAAGTGGAAAGCCTTCCCAGTTTATTAACTTGTTTCTGCTTTTGCAGCTTTTCTTATTTATCGAAACATTGTTTGCATGTAAGAACTTGTTTGCGTCTGAATGATTATTTTAATACAATGAGTATGTTTGTCTTGAAGAAATTCATTCGTTTCACTCATATTTGCTCTCAAATTTTAAATTTCTTTTGCATTATGATACCAACATGTTGCCCATTCTCTTGCCTAGGCAGAGATTGAAAGGGAGGATGATGATCGAAAGAACACAAAATCTTTGGTTGCATGCTTTTGAATAAAATCTTGTTGATGATGTACAGGCATTGTTTCAAATCCCTAAACACCGGAGATATAAGGAAGATAATCCCTTGCTAACCCCTTTTGAGCCTTTGAAGCAGAAGTTTCTTTTCTATACGAAAAAACCTTGAATTTTAACCTGGGGCAGGGTAGTTTTCAATTAGTCTGATTGAGTGTTCAAAATTCGCAAGGAAGATGTTACCGTCACAAAATCCTTTGAGAGATGAACACTCATGTTGAATTAACCGAACATAGAGTTGGAGAACATCATGAAGAATGGGTGGGCACCAAATATTTTGAGCCTTAAAATCTTTTTCTAAAAAACCCATAAATCGGACCACATTACAACCTTCAAAAGTCCTAATTGAAGCAAGGTCATTCTGAAAGCATACTTCAATGAGATAGTGTTCCTGACTCCCATGAATGTTCTAAATAGTTATGTTGGTATCATATGTTTTTCCTATACAAAAATAAATGGCGCTTTAACTCGCAAAATTTGTGCGTTGTCTTTCAAAAAATCTTCAAGACTTATATAACTGTTGCATTAGAATTTTCATTCTCATTGTAAACTTTTTCTAACTGTAAAACATTTGCTTGATATCAAGGAAGCTCACATAAACACCAGTGATGAGTTTACCCTTTTAAGGCTTGAAGCTATGTTGAGTAATTGGAGAGTCATTTCAAGAAAAATCATATCCAGGGGCATGTTAGTTGAAGACCTTAAGCATGGACAGGTTGCTTCTCCTAGTTATTGCTTTTCCCAATTTGTTTGCTCGTCTGGGGCAAAAATTCGAAGATTTTGTTGTGCCGACTACAGTCAATCCGGGGCAATCACGTCAAGGTTGGACGATTTCCTCTAAGAGTTTGAAGACACCAGAGCATGGTGAATGCCAGGTCTTTTGTAAACCCTCTTGAGACGTTTTTCCTCATCAACCAGATAGCTTGGGGGATTTGTAGAAGTGAAGCTATTCGCAACAATCGTCGTGCATCATGCAGCTCGTCAGCAGTAACTTGGGGCATCCATATTGGTCCCAGGGGCAATCTAGACTTGTCAGGATGTGTGTTAGATATTGCACACTTTATCAGGGGGTGGTGTTCTCAGTATCTCCAGCTAAGCGTGACTTTCTCCAGCTGAAGATTTGTTCGTGTTGTCGACGATAGAAGACTGGACTTTGGGTTGAATATCTTCCTCTCCAAGAGATTTAAGCCTTGTAGAAGGATTTTACAGCATTGTTGGCTTTTGTCTTCTATCTCCAGTGATGTTCCCCTCCTTTTGAGATTAGCCGAGCGTCGAGTTGTACTGTGATGTCTTATCATCTTCTGTCCATCTCCCCTGTCGTTTTTGTCAGCATACACATGCCATTCATTCACACTTGCATCATGCACGCACAGTTGTATCTGTTGATGTCTTTGAATTCGTACACCTTGGTTGTGTCTTTTCAAATAACGTATTTGATCTTTCCAAATAGGGTGTTAACTTAAGCATAAAGTGCGCCTCCTTTCTAATTCCCCAACTGAGCTAATCCTCGTGGATGATTTTTGATTTAGCTTACCTTATCCATTTCTGGATAGGATAATTTCCCCAATCGAGTTACTTTCTCATTGGGAGGAGTCTTGTTTGACTGTTTTCTCTCTGGTTATTCCTGGATGAAGTGGCTGCCTCTTGCATAGGCTATACTCTTTGATTTTCCCCAGTGAGTTTGCGACCAAGACGACTGGTGCATTTATTTTGCACATTTAAGTATATGATCTCCTCGGGAAAGATTGATTCAGGGTTCTTTTTGATGAAGATTTTATTCTCTGCCAATATCATCGCAGTTTCCTTCTGAATTATGTTG